TCAACTCCGGTGTCAATAAATTCATAACTCTGTTGATGATCAGATTGATAACTTGGTATTTGGTAGGGAAATTGTAGTCATTTTAATCAACTCCATTTTCAATAATTACTCTTAGACATTGTAATTGATAATTGTAATATTTTTCTCCATGTCATTGATAATTAATGTATTTATAGGCAAAAACTGGGGTTGTTTTGAATTTTTCTGCAGCAGAGCCTTATAGTGGCAGGGCTTCCACGTTATTGCTCTACACGCTACAACTATAAAAGGTACAATTTCAACCAAATAGTCTTGAAGAGTGAGTTTTTGTTTTTGTTTTTTTAAATAAGAAAACAAAATTAGAATGCTATTTTACGTAGGATATGTAAAATATATTTCAACAGGTAGGATTCTGTTTTGAACTATAAGATTTATTAGCTATGAATACTCTTTTTTTTTTTTTTTTATATGGGATAGTCTAAACCCAATATTTAAAAACATGCGAATAAAAAACTCCAACTAGTGAAGATGGACTAATTAAGAAGATAAAAGGATGGTAGACCAAGCACATTATGAGACTAAAACATGCTACTATCAAATTCTTGGGCGATAGGCAACTACTAAATCATTAAAGCATAAAAATCAAATCAAACAGTTTCATCATTAACCTGTTTTATCTATTTATAACAGTTTGTCTCGTAGTAATTTCTACGCTTAGTCTCAATCATATGTTATTTGTTTTTTAAGTTAATTTGCGTGCTAGATGGAAAAATTTATCATCCACCCGACAAAAACTTCTGAAAGCACTTGCAAGTCCTCTGCTGAAACAGAAAGTGTCTCTATGCCTAAAGAGCCCATTACCTTGCCCACTCCCACACCCAGCCCTACCCCTACACCTAATTTGGGCACTAGAATTGAAAACGAAAAAGAGGAGGGAGACAGTAAAAAGAGGAAGAAGTCACAAAAAAAGTCTCCTATTTGGGATCATTTCAAAATCATAGAGGGTGGGGATCCAAATGAGCCTAGGTGTAAGTGTATTTATTGTGGGGCAACATATGCGTGTGATAGTAGGAGACATGGCACTAGTAGTATGAAAGTTCACATAGAAAAGCAATGCAAGAAATACCCATATAAGAACCAAGACAAAAGGTAAAAAACTATGAGTTTCCAAACAAACACTAAAACTGACAGTAGTCTTGTTGCTATAGGCTTTAACAAGGAGCATTGTAGAAAAGCGTTAGCAAAAATGGTGATTGTAGATGAGCTTTCATTTAGGTTTGTTGAAGGTGAAGGATTTAAGAATTTTTGTCAAGTGACGCAGCCTAGGTTCTCTATCCCCTCCCGTGTTACGATTACTAAGGACATTTACCAACTTTTTTTAGAAGAGAGGAAGAAACTAAGGGCTGAATTTAGTAAGGGCAGTCAAAGGATTTGCCTAACAACTGATTGTTTGACATCCTTGCAAAATATTAATTATTTGTGTCTAACTGCACACTACGTTGATAGTGAGTGGACTTTGCAAAAAATGATTATAAACTTTTGTCAAATTTCAAGTCACAAGGGAGAGAGTGTTGGTAAAATCATTGAGTCATGTTTGCATGCTTGGGGTATTGAGAGAATCTTCACCATGACTGTTGATAATGCCTCCTCAAATGACTCCATGATTACCTACTTGAGAAGGAAGATTAAGGGGTGGAAAGGGGTTATTTTAGGTGGGGAATTTCTACATGTTAGGTGTTGTGCCCATATAGTGAACTTGATTGTCAATGAAGGTTTAAAAGACCTACATAATTCCATAGCTGCCATTCGTAACGCTGTGAGGTATGTGAGGTCTTCTCCGGCTAGGTTGCTGAAATTCAAGTCATGTGTGGAGCGAGAGAAAATTGAATACAAAGGTCTCGTATGCTTAGATGTCCCTACTAGATGGAACTCCACCTATATGATGTTAGATGCAGCCATTAAGTTTCAAAAAGCTTTTGAAAGATATGAAGAGGATGATGGCAAGTTTGTGTCTTATTTTCAGGAAGATGAGGGGGGAAACAGAAGATTGGCCCGCCACTTGATGATGATTGGGAGAATATTAAGGTGTTTGTGAAATTTTTGAAGACTTTTTATGATATAACTTTGATATTTAGTGACACTTTGAATGTCACTTCAAATTCTTACTTTCGTGAGCTTTGTCAGATCCAAAACCAGCTATCTGAATTAAGCAAACAAGAGGATTCAATGCTTTCATCCATGGCTGTGAGTATGAAAAAGAAGTATAACAAGTATTGGGAGAATGTTGAGAATATAAATTGTCTTCTCTTTGTGGCTGTTGTACTTGATCCTAGGTACAAAATGGATTATTTGACATATTGTTTCTCTATAGTGTATGATTCTTGCACTTATGAAACATTAGCAAAGAATGTGAATGATACTATGTACCGGCTGCATGAGGTTTAAAGTGGGGACAAAGGTGAATCTGTGGCTAATGAAAGTAGTGGGGAGGCGGCAACAACAAGTACAACGGAGGTAAAAACAAAAGTAGAAAAAAAATGGTGTTTGTAGAGCTCCTTTGTTAGGAAAATGAAGGAGAAGAATGTGAATGAGTACAAAAATGATGTGGACAGATACTTGACAGACCCTATGGAGGATCCAACTCGGTCAAATTTTGATGTTTTAGATTGGTGGAAGAATAATGCAACTAATTACAAGGTTCTCTCACTAGTTGTAAGAGACATTCTTGCCATTCATGTTTCAACGGTAGCCTCAGAATTTGCTTTTAGTACTGGAGGCCGCATCCTCGATCCCTTTAGGAGTTCATTGAGCCCCAAGATGGTGGAGGCATTGATTTGTACACAAAATTAGTTGCGTAGTCGTGAGCACATTAACCTTATTGACGTGGAAGAATTTAATGAATATGAAGATATTGAGTCAGGTAATCTTTTTACGTTTTACTTTTTTTTTTTTTAATTTTATTTCATCTCCTTGTTGTTTATTTTGCTGTTCTAAACTTGAGTCTGATGATTTTTTTTTGTTATGTTTTCTTCTCAAGATTTGTCAAATTTTGTTGCAACACATGAGAGGCAAGTTGGGGATGACGATGCTATTATTTTGGATTAAACAGTTTGGAGTGGACTAACTTTTATTTCATATCCTATTTTGTGACTATCTTTATATGGACTGTTTATCTTTATATGGATTGTTTATTCTGGATTAAACTGTTTATTTTATATGGACTATTTTGCTTCTCAAGATTTTATTTCATCTCCTTGTTGTTTATGCTTTTGGACTGTTAAAAGAGGTATGAAGTCATATATTAAAATTGATTTTCACCAACCCGAGTATAACCCAAGTAACCCAACCCTATCCGAGGCCACCCGAAAGGTTGCAGGTTTGTACACTTAAGAGAGTGTCGCGGCCCAAAATTTTCTCAACCCGCACTGATCGGGTCAGCTCAATTTTTCGGCTCAACCCGACCCTACCCGGTCGATTTACACCCCTAGTTCCTGACAATTGTCTTGCAGATCAGTGAAATACTGGGTAACCGATTTGGTTCCATGTTTCATCTCCTTCAGTTTCGGGCGAATTTCAAAAACTTGTGAGGCATTGCCGAGATCAGAATATGTTCTTTTTGCAGTATCTCATACATCTTTAGCAGTCGGAAGGAAGAGATATCGGCGGCTGATCATGGGCTCCATGGAGTTAAATAAGTCATGCGTGTACAATCGAGTTTTCGGCAAACCACTTTTTGTATGTAGAATCGGTCGGTGCTGGAGCTTTAGCTTCACCAGTTATGTATTCGAATTTTCTCCCGCCACAGATCACAATCTTTACTGACTGAGACCATTGAAGATAATTTTTTCCATTGAGTTTGTGAGCCGTAATCTGGAGCGAGTTATTGTCTCCACCATGAAAACGCCGTGACGGACTGATCGGCGTGAGTTTTGTCGGGGTTTTCTGATTTGGAATCATCTCCACGTGAAGATCCCATCATGGCTGTTTTTGCCATTGAAATATTCAGAGTTCAAGGCTCTGATACCATGAACGCAGGTTAATTGAACTGCCTTATTTTATTAATTGAATGAAAGTACACTTAAATAGACTAGGGTTTGAATACCGAGTCTATTATCTTCTCCTAGGTTTACGGTAGAAAGATTTCTACCAACTAATCTACTTCATTTGAATTTAAACTCTAACTGATAACTCCTAATCTATATAATCGGAAAATAAAAAACTAAATAAAAAGTTATTTGACTTATTCAAACTCCCTCTAAAAAGATCTTATTTGCTAACAGCAAGGAATGACCAAAACTATGCGAAAAGAAGAGTAGGAAAAGAGAAGGTTCACTTATAAAATCCCCCAAAAAAAAAAACAGAGAAAAAGTGAGGAAATCCTACGCTATTTATATATAACATATATAAAACGCATCCATGAAAGTACTTGGCATTGTATAATAGTTTGAGGGCACGCTTAGCAAACCATAAGGTAATGGGTTCGGAAAGGTACTGGATTTGGAAAGGACAGTTAAGGAATAAGAATGTGGGTCATTATTCATATCTCTGAGAAGGCAGAAGAAGATGTTATCCAATTCTCTTTCTATTGTTTACTACACTTAGGGATACAATCTTAGTAGTACAATTACTGAAGTATCCTTTTATATAATTAAATGATAATTGGGTATAATTTTTTATTTGCAAAACTTATGTAACTGTATATAAGTGAATTTAGCATTCATTCCCATTAACCGGGAATCAATATCAATTATAGTAAGTGTTAGGATTGATATTTTCTTTCCTCGTTCCCTGTTTATTTGGGAGGGAGGAGCCACCGCACTCTTCCTTTTTCCCTTTCCCTTTCATGTGAAGTAAACATATCCTATACATTGACGTCTACTGTTACAAACTGCAAGTTACTCCATATGTAATCATAGATTGAAGTTACTTATTTGATCAAACATACAACATATAAATTAGCAAAATGCCCACCACTGTTTTCTCATATGCCATATGACATCCAAAAAGTAGAAAGAAGATACCTGTACAGTTACAATTGACAAGCCTATCAATTTGCAGATGTGGAAGTTTGACCTAAAAAAATCTTTGAACTGATCAAAACTCCCCGATGGATCTTCTGGAAAGTCCTGGTTCACGTTGAATTGAATCAGCATAACCAAATGAATGGTTTGCATATTTAGTAAGTCATTAACTCAATAAATGAATGAATAAATATATTTAAACGTTACCTCCTCCCAGTCACGGTTTAGAAATACATCTGCAGTCACTGCAGCTTCCAGCATGAGGAGCAAAAAAACGAAAAACATATACTGAACCAAGTTAAGGTCAACGATTAACTCACCGCCTTTCACCGTCTACTCTCACAGGAGACTTATTCAGACTATTATAATCAAAAAACAAAAATGCAAACACAATTCTCTAAGAATCTCAGTGATATAAAGAAAACAAAAGAGATCTGGAACCAGAAATCCACAAAAGCTCAATTGCCTAAAGAAGAAAACCATAGCTTTGCCAAAATTTAGCGAGTACCCATAACATAACTTGATGATCACAATGCTTCTGGAGGATATGTATTACCTCGTAAACGTCTAAAAAAATGTTAAAACTGACAACATATAAGATTCTTCTCAAATACTTCCACAGAGACATCAAACCTACAATTCCGATATTGAACTATTATGGACCAGCACAGAAAATACTATAATTGTGAGTATACATCTATAATAACCATATGCAGCAAGAGATGTACATAAGACAGAAGATCTTTGGTAAAAAAAGCAACTGAAAGGAACAGTTAAATAGAATAAGAAGGATTCCACTTCAAATTGAATGAAGAAATAAATAAACTAGAATCTTATATATAATATTCCTTCAAAATATATCAATTGCTCAAGGGGGGAAAAAATAAGCTTAGGGGAAAACAGTAATCCATCTCTTTGAACCTGGTTTTACCCGAAAGGGAACAGAATAACTGTAAAAGCAATGGATACCAAATAAAGGCAACAGCCATTTATGGTGTCTGCGGCAATATGGCCTGAGCATGTTATCACACACAGAGTGATCCCAAGACCAAGAAAGGTGTAAATGAACCTGCAATTTACGATCAAAAATAATAAATTCAATCGGCATATAAATGAATGTTGCAAGCAAACAAAATTAAAGCCAAAAGAACCATAAAAGGGTTTTGAATGCAAGAACATGTTAACAAACTATAACAATAAGCATTCATAATACCTTTCAAAAAAAGAAATAAATAAATAAGCATTCATAATACTAAGGTAAGCTTCATAGCTCTAACCTAGGGAAGGAGTTATTTTAAAGAAACTTAATCAATCTTTTGTTAAAATTTTGTATATTTCTAACATTGATTTGGACCTATTTAAAAGGCACAAATCTTTCTCAATTGCATAGAAAAAGAAAGTGTACATAGCTGGTGGTATTTCTTTATTCCTATTTAAATATTGCCACATGAAGAGAATATTTGAGTTTATAATTTCTTTTTGTTGCTCTATAATTTGTGTCTCATTTTGAAGATCAATTTAGCAATGGTACCAACATTTTTACCTTTCCTCCGCTCATTCATACTATATGATTATTTTAGATTTATTTTTTTCTCCACCTTCTGAATTAGTTCAAATTTCATATTAATTTATGCCCCTAAACTAAATTTCTGACTCCCTGACTAGAACCTATCCTTAAAACATATACTAAAACATCCATTTTAATTCCCAGGAAACATCTTTGCTTGAACTCTTCACGTCTTAAAGCCAAATATATTTATTACTACAAATACCCACAATTCGAAATTCAACGCTCACTGTTATCCGTAATTCATTTGAAATTAAAAATAATTATGAACAAAAAGAGGAAGAAGAAGATAATTGCGAAAAATAGAATATAAATTAAGGGGGGCGTTACCATGGAGGTGGATAATCAGAATCCCCAAAGGGAAACTCGTCCATCTGCCTCTGCCAAACCCTAATCAGCCACACGGCGTACAAAACCATGGCTAATCCCACCATCCCAATTACAGAATTTACCAACTTCAGTATCGATTGTACGCAGCTCCTTACCATCCTCCCCATTTTTTTTTTTTTTTTGGTTTCCAGAAACACAAACACAATCCACCAAGAAATTTTTTTTTTTTTTTTAAAAGAAGCAAAGAAAATAATTTTTGAAAAAATAATAGTAAAACACCCTCTTCACTGATATTACAAAGAGACTCGGCTCAAATTAAATAATAAAACCTTTTTTTTTTTTTTTGTTCTAGAAGCAAAGAAGTTCGGTTTTGATTCTTTTTTTTTTTCCAAGCCAACAAAGTCTTGCCGGAAGGAATTGAAAATGTTTTTTTGTTAAAAATAAAAGGATGTGTTTGAAATTTATTTTAAAATAATTATATTTTTTATATAAAAATAAATTTAATAATTTTATTAAAAAATTATTTTTAGTATAAAAAAATTTATTAACATCTTTTTTTATATTTAAAAGAGGAAAAAACAGAAATAATAAATAATAAATAATTAAAAATTATTTTTTATTTCTCTTTTATTTTATACTAAATTAAAAAATTATTTTTATTTTATTTTTTATCTTTAATTGTGTCAAACGTCGTTTTTATTCCGTATTTATTTTTTTTCTCGATAATCGTAAAAAACAAATACAAAATTAACTCCGAACAGGACCAAAGTGCTTTCTAGTAATTAGACTATGGTCCAAAAGCTGTCACGTAAGATGCTGTGGTGTAGTGGTTATCACGTCAGTCTTACACACTGAAGGTCCCCAGTTCGATCCTGGGCAGCATCAACTCTTTTTTTTTCTTTTTGGCTTGCAATTTTTCCCCCTTCTCAAGTACTTTCGAGTATGAATAAAAAGAACATTCTTATTGCTAAACTGTCCTTTTTATTAAGAATTATTATTATTAATGTCTCTTAAATTTTAGAATTATTTTTAATTTACTCTTTAAATTTTAAGCACTTTTATTTTATCCTATAAAGTTTAAATTATTCTCACTTAACTCATTTTGTTGTAATTTCGTTAAAATCATATGAAAAAAAGGAGGTTAAGTGTTGCCATGTGGTTCTTATTTATTTATTTCTAACAAAAATTTAAACAAAAATATCACGTAATTGCATTACTCTTTTTTTCTATAAGTTTTTAACATAAATTACAGAAATGAGTTAAGTGGCATCAATTCAAAGTTCAAATGATAAAATGAGAGTTTTTAAAGTTCAGAGAGTAAATTATAAATGACTTTAAAATTTAAGAGCACCAGTATAATAATCTTTTTATTAATTATATTAAATAGAAACTAATAACTTTAAACATATTTCCTCAAGACGTTTTAATTTATTTTGATTGTTTCATTTTTAAATGTTTTAAAGTATTTTTAGAAGTTTTTAAAAAAATTACTAGTTTTTTGTTAATTAATGAGAATGGTAAAATGAAACATATATGTTCATTTGCACAACTCAAGTCATGACTTAAGTTGTGTATATGAGAGAAAAATATTTTAACAAAAAAATTGAATTTAAATTTTTATAAGAGAAAACACTGTAACAATACGACTTGAGTGAAGCCATAATGACTTAGTCATTATGTCTCAAAAATCAATGTCAATGTACTAAAAAATATTTATTTAATGGTGAAAGTACAGTCTTAATATTATTAAAAATATAGGATATCGGCGAGATGTTTCACTTAGAGTTAAATTTATCAAAAGTCCCTGATCTTTTTTCTCTTTCTATAATTAGTCTCCATACTTAAAAGTATACCAACTTAAACATTAAACTTTTTGAATGTCTCAAATTTAGTCTCTCAGTTAATATTCTGTTAAATTTTGAACGGAAAAAGTTAACATATTAGTATTTAAATTTTCTCAGCATCAACCTTTTTTTTCCTTTTGGCTTGCAACTTTTTTCTCAAGTACTTTCGAATATGAATGAAAAGAACATTCTTACTGCAAAACTTTCCTTTTTATTAAGGATTATTATCACTAGTGTCCTCTAAATTTTAGGGTTATTTTTAGTTTACTTTCTAAACATTAAAAACTCTCATTTTACCCTATGAACTTTGAATTATTTTCAGTTAACCCCTTCTATTGCCATTTATGTTAAAATCGGGTGGAAAAAAATGAGGTTAATTGTTGTCATGTGGTTCTTATTTATTTATTTCTTACAAAAATTTAAACAAAAATATTACACGATTGCATTACTCTTTTTTTCTATCAGTTTTTAACAAAAATTACAATAGAAAGGAGTTAAATGGGAACAATTCAAAGTTCAGGGAGCAAAGTGGGAGTTTTTAAAATTTAGGGGGTAAATTGTGAATGACTTTAAAATTTAGAGACACCAGTGATAATAATCTTTTTATTAATTATATTAAATAAAAACTAATAACTTTAAACATATTTCCTCAAGACATTTTAATTTATTTTGATTGTTTCATTTTTAAATGTTTTAAAGTATTTTTAGATTTTTAAAAAAAAATTACTAGTTTTTTGTTAATTAATGAGAATGGTAATATAAAACATATATGTTGCACAACTCAACTGATGATTTGAGTTGTGTATGTGAGAGAAAAACACTTTAACAAAAAAGTTGAATTTAAATTTTTGTGAGTGAAAACATTATAGTAATATGACTTGAGTCAAGCTATAATGACTTGAGTCATTATGTCTCAAAAATCAATGTCAATGTACTAAAAAAATATTTATTTAATAGTGAAAGTACAGTCTTAATATTATTAAAAATATAAGATATCAACGAGATGTTTTACTATTGAGTTTAATCTATCAAAAGTCATTGGTCTTTTTTCTCTTTCTATAATTAGTCCCTATACTTAAAAGTGTACCGATTTAAACCTTAAACTTTTTGAATGTCTCAAATTTAGTCTCTCAGTTAATATTCCGTTAAATTTTGAATGGAAAAAGTTAATATATTGGTATTTAAATTATAAACAAATGAGTAAAGGGTTGTTCGTTTTGCAACAAAACTCAGAAAAATTTTGAACTCGAGTTACAACTTTATTCAAGTACATGTTCTTGTAAAATTTGAGCTTGAACTCGAGTTTGAACTCGAGTTTGGGGCTAAACTTGAGCTCAAATTTTTTCTTCAACTCGAGTTCATAAACTCAAACTCAAGTTAATGAACATTATTTTTTATATTCTTATCATTAATAAACCAAATTAAATGAAATTGTTGATAATCATATTTACATCCCAAATTAGAAAAAGAAAAAAAAGAACTAAACAATCTATCCAAATTACACCTCACGTCTCAATAAAAACTTCTCTCTTCCGTACTTTTCTAAATTTTCTTGTCCCAACATTGCTATGCTATCAAAGTTAATCGATTTAAAAGATTAGTGTTTTATGATCTTTTGGGTCTACAAACCATAGCGGTATTTTCAACGGTGGTCTACAATATTTGGTTTTCTTACGGGCTTTTGACCTAAGTAGATAGCAAAGAGCTGATTGATGAATTAGTACTATTAAACCTGCATTGATGACAATATTAGCTTTGCCTATAATTAAAGTTAAAATGCGTGCACTAAAATAGTCTTCGTTTTTTTCTTTTAAATACTAATCATTTGAGAATTGAGATTATGAGAAGTAAGCGAGATATAATTTGCATAGGTTGTTTCGTGTTTTTTGTTTTGGAGGCAAATTTAATTGTGGATAAGTTCATTCAGTTTTCTTTATTATTGATGAAATGCACCTTTTTTGCAAGAATTGGTAAGCAGGGCTATTTATTCATTTATTTATAACTTAAATACCAATATTTTAACTTATCCAACCAAAATTTAACCGAATATTAATTGAGGGATTAAATTTATGACATTCAAAACGTTTAAGGTTTAAATTGGTACACTTTTAAGTACATGGATGAATAATAAAAAGAGAAAAAAAATTAAAGACCTTTGATGAATTTAACTTTTTACTATAACATAAGGTATTAAAATGATTTTATCCGTAACTAAGTTTCCGTTTAGTTTGTTAGTTCAAATTGTGTTAATTTAAACAGAAAAATTTAAACAATATAATTTAAAAAGTTAATTTAAATTAGTGTTTAAATACACAAAAAACTTTTAATCTAAATAAGAAATAAAATTTAAATTAGTATTTGAATGTGAGAAAGTGCACGTGTATTTGTTTTGTTTGGAGAGAAAGTGGGGCCAACGCCAATTAGGGTGAGAAGTGAGAACGACCTTTGCAGCAAAGTGGCCTGAAAAGTGGGGCCCACGCCAAATAAAGTCAGAATGGTGGGAATGGAAAACTGTAGGAGAATAATGGTCTAAAAAGTGGAATTGGGGGGCAGTTGAATTCGGAGTTGAAGCATTTCAACCCATTCAATTTTTAATTAACGTCCTTATCAAATGTGTATTCGAATTGTAGTTTGAGCTGAATTGAGTTGTCCCACCAAAGGGGGCTAACATTAATATGAGCAAGAACTTTCACTTGATTATTACTATTTTTACTCATCTCGGAAGTTATTGTCAACGGAAATTGATTTAGGTCCCGTTCATTTTGCTGATTTGAGTTTTGCTACGGTAAAAAACTCTTAGAAATAATTACATCTAACTTTTTTACTACAGTAAAAAACACTCACATAAAATCACATCTCAACTCGAATTAAAAACTCGAATTAGCGAACTAAACAGACCCTTAAAGTGCACCAAAATAGTTCGTTATTCTAGAAATAGTCTAGTCGGAGTAAGACTTGAACTCTGTTCATTTTATTAATTTGAGTTTAGAATTTGAGTTTTACTACAGTAAAAAATTCTTAAAAACAGTAATATTTATCTTTTTTGCTACAGTAAAAAACTCTCACATGAAATCATATCTTAACTCGAATTAAAAATTTGAATTAGCGAACTAAACGAGCCTTTGATCTCTAGTGCACTATTCTGCACTAAAATCCAAGTACATTCTGTAGGCATTTCGATCAGATGAATAATAACCCTCTATGAGGTTGTCAACCTTAAAACCAAGTTTCTTGTATAGATTCATAGCAGGAGTCCTTAGCGGATCAACATGAAGCGATACGCATTGGACATTTCTGGTTCTGCATTTCTCGATCGCCGCTTTAAGCAATGCCTCTCCATATCCTTGCCTCCTCAAGTTCTCCTTCACTGCAAAATAAAAGAGAAAAAAAAACACAACAAACGACAACATAGAAGAATCAATATGAAGTCAATAAGAGACATGGAAACATGAACTTGTCTCTTTTGGGAATTGTATCGAACAGTTTGTGGGCATGCGTGAAATCTCGTACCCATTGACTAATTGAGTTTAGTTCTGAAAAAATTAAGAATAAAATGGTTGTGAATTTAAACCTGCGAGCTTTGCGATGGAACCGCAAAGAGAAGAAGGCCATGAGTACATGACATAGCCTGCAACTTCTCCATCTACGACGACGTAAAGCAATCCGCTGTTCTTTTTTCTGAGCTCTTCATCAAAGGATCTAGCAAGCGATTCGTGTTTCGGAAAGATCTTTCTCTCAAGCTTTACTATGCCTTCCACTATATTGGACCAGTTGGGAAAGTTTCTTTGAAGCTCCACAATCGCTCCTGTGGCCATAGACGAGTAAATTTCCTTTGTTATTGTTGAACTTTCTTCGTCTGTCGGCCAAACTCGTCTGGTGAACTTTTCTCCTAAATTTTTTTTTCTCTAATTTTTATACCTCAAAATGTGAAGGGTTTTTAGCACAATTGCTCCTTAATCTCATCCTGATTTAACAAATTGCCCTCTAAACTCTTAATTTTAACAATCAATCCTCTAAATTTGTAAAATTATTGTAATGCACTATTTTATTAAATTTGTTCAACTTTTTTTTAGATTTAGGGGATCAAAGTTCATAAATTAAAAAATTTGTATTACATTTGAATTGAGATGTTAGAACATGTTTTTTCGACGTTAATTTAACACAATCATCGTCAAAATGAAGCACATTTCAATAATTTTACAAATTGAGAGTACAACTTGCCAAAATTAAAAATTTAAAAAGCAAATTACTAAACTATACAAATTTAGAGGACAAATGTATAAAATACCTAAATATGAGACTATATTACTATGAAAATAATCATGACTTGTATTTTAGATTGTGTCATACTAGGACATGTTTACTTTGCATCAAAGGGAAAGAGAAAGTAATGATTGATTCTCTTTCTCATCTAATAAGTGTTTACTTACAAAACTAGTAATGGAGAACTGAGCCCCACACAATATGAGTAACGAGTAAAGAGAATACCAATTCTTGCACTCCCTTAATATTGATTCTTTGTCAACGAGAACGAATGTTAAATTTATTTATCTACCTTTAATGAATTACTATGGCCTCGTTCATTTCACCGATTCGAGTTTTCAGTTTTAGGTTTATACAGTAAAAAGCTCTCAGAAAATGTCACATCAACTTTTTCTGTTACAGTGAAAAGCTCTCAGAAAATGTTACATCTCAGCTTGAATTAAAAACTCAAATCCGCAAAGTGAACGAGGCCTATACAATCAATGGTTAGTTAATTATGTAAAAGGACATTTTAGTAATTACCTTCATAATATTACTATTCCTAATTTTAGTAAACATAAAAAAGAGAGTGTAAGCATGTCCCATTACACCATCTAATAGTTAAATAAACGCATGAAAAAGAATGAATGACCCTTAATCCTATTACTTTACTTTTCTTTCTAATTCCATTACCTTTCTAATTACATTCCTTTACGGTTTAATAAACGCGGCCTTATATCTTCAGATTTTGAATGTATATTTGATCATCACCTTGTTCTTAATTAATTAATTAATTTTGATTAATAAAAAAGATCTAAATACCCTTAAAAAAGAATAAGAATAATAAAGATATAAGAAAATTACAAAATATGTTTGTTTTATGATCTTAATATGTTTAAATCCTTAAATATTTATTTAGAAACTAATTTTTGTCTATTTATTCTCATTTATATCCAAGAAATACACGAGGGATAAATTTTAAATTTAGTTTTTAAATTTAGGATTAATCGTATAATTGGTCATTAAATTTTACAGTAAATCTCACTTTAATCTAATTTTTAAAGCGTCTAAGAACTCATTTCTAATCTATCAACCTATTATTCTATTAATTTTAGTCATTTTCATCAAAATTTAAGAATTAATTATGAGATTAGCCCTTAGATTTAAGAATAATAACATAAGGAATACCAATTATAATCTCAGCATTTTATACCAACTTTGAATTGTCCATATTTTCAATGGCAAATACAACCTCTTATTATATAATAATTACATATAGGAATGACAACTCAGAAATTGATATAAAAGTTAAATTATACAAATACTAGCACCAGCAAAATGCACATTTTAATTAGACGTATTTAAGCAGTAAAATTTTTGAGAAAAAATTATATCAAACGTGTATAAAATTAGTAAAAGAAAAATGCTTTAATAAATAATTTTAGAAATATAAAATTTAAAGGGAAAGAGTTTAAAAAAAATACGAGAAAGTAAGACAGAGAGGACAAAATAAATAAATAAATAAACACAAAAGGATAAAATAACTTAACCCTCAGATGAATAATGAAAAAGAGAATTCACAGTGCTATAGATCTAAAGAGAGAGATAAAATATATAGATAATGTATAATAGATTTACATATTTCCATGTTTTTTCTTCTCTAAGCAATATATATTGTCAAAAGTAAAATCTTATAATTAAATTTGTAACGAGGTCAATATCGCTTCCAGACATTAACTTGAATAACGAGTTAATTTATCAAGTCAATATAAAAGTAGAATGAGAACTTAAAAGTTTAATAAAAAAATAAAGAAATGGACATACGAGTTTATAGTGATTCACAATTTTCATTTTAATTTATAAAAAGTACAATTATAATGTAGAATAAAAAAGGGATAAAGAGAGAAGGTGGAATTTGCAAAGAATTTAGAAAGAGAAATGGAGTGAATGAACAATATTTAAAATGAATATGGGATGGTAAATTCGTGGTATCAATCCCTATTTTTGATTTAGCAAAAAAAAAAAAAAAAAGAAACCTCCATTTTTGAGTCTCTTAAGTCGCTTGATTCTCAGCTTGATCTGCTGTTGACTGGTGAAATGGATTTCTCATTTTTTGGATACAACTGACTTTTCGTATTGCTTATTTCTTTATTTGATTTGGGCAAGCTGCACCTCTGAGTTTGGTCCCATTCCTGGTTTTATTTCTCAATTTAAGTATTTTGATTTATGAGTTTAAAATTATAATTTATATTTATAATTTGTAAAATTTAAATTTTTTATAAAAAAATATTATAATAAAATTAAAAACTATAATTTTAAATTAAATAAAACTTTTAAAACAAACGTTGTCAGGGTCCGTTTAGTTCTCTGATTTGAGTTTTTAATTTTAGTTGAGATATAATTTTATATAAGAATTTTTTATTGTAGCAAAAAAAAAAAAATTAAATGTGATTGTTTATGAGAGTTTTTTACTGTAGTAAAACTCGAATTCTAAACTCGAATAAGCAAAATGAACGAGTCTTAATTGATTTGTCTCGGTGGATTTCAAGGATTCTTCTTTCCTAAATTATCTTTGTGGGTCCCATGGGTCTTCATGCATTCAGCTCTCCAGTTGTCTCTGGTTCTCAAGTTGCTCGCTGGTCGCCTTTTTATTTTTTTTATCTGATTGCTCGTTGGTCGCTTGCTTCCTCCAGTCATTTTTTGAGGATGATCGGGCACGTATGTTGCGAGTGATGAAGTACAAAATTTGACTCAATATATATGCCCTAAATTATTTATTTAGAAGTGTCTACATATATGCTCTTATTCATATACTTTCGCATAAAATTAGTTGAAAAATTAATAAGATGATAATTAATACATGAATAATTTTATTTACACACCATTTTTAACTCTCCACACGGTCTTTAAATTAAAGTTTTTTATTACAGAATGAACTCACATAAAATGATAAAAAGGGACCAATTTCTTATCATAAACGAAATTTATTGTGTAATTGAATTTTATTATAAAAAATTAATGATTAAGCTTTTGTCACGCCCTTTTTTTTGGTTCTTTGTTTTGTTTTTGTTGTTTTATTTTACAGTTCTCATTTTGTTTTCTAGTTTATCTTTTTCTTTTTTTCCTCATACATCAATTGATATCGTAAATTCTTTCTATCGGTGTTTTTGTTTTTTTATTTATTTACTTTTAAATTGTTTTGCTATCTATTTCTTTGGAAATTTTTCTTGATTAATCAGCATATCAGTAAAGTCAGTTTCTGATTATTTAATATAATTAAAATTATATTAAATTAAAAAATATATAATATATAATTTTTAATTTTTAATATATATTTAATAATTAAAAAATAAAAAAATTATCAACAGTTTATTTTTTCAATCATAATAAAGAAATTTTAAAAAGATTGTACGCATATAAAAAGAGAATATTAAAGTAAAGAATTGAAATGAAATGAAATGATTGGTGTGAAAAGAAAATTGAAATGATTAGGAATTAATAGTGATGGGATATAATTAGGGGTCATTTTATAATAACACGATGTGCAAAAATATAAGTTTAATCATTTTGGAATTATATAAAAACTTTTTTTTATGACGTGATTATATAATTTAAGTGAATCGTTTAGTTTATTAATTTAAAATTATAATTTAAAATTATAATTATAAAAAATATAAATTATTATTCAAAATTAAAGATAAATACAAAAAATAAACATCATCTAAATTAAGAAAGAAAAAGAGCTAAGAGGAGAAATGGATAAACAAGAAAACAGGAAAAATAGCGGAATACGTAGACGTTATTTTAGTACAGCCGCTAAATTTGAGTGTTAGCGGTTGGAATTTAGCAGAGATGATAAAGGTGCTTAAGCAATCAGCCTGTCCTACGCCCTCTAATAAATTAATTCGATGCCAATTTTCAGAACCACTCAAATTGAATTCCATTTTGTCTTCAAGTTTTCTCCTCCATTTATCCAATACCAGTTCCAATCTTAGCTCCAGTGCTTCTCTCAAGTGCTTTTGCACCAAAGATGAGAATACCCATCAAGTTTCTTCTCAGGTAACTTTGATTTGTTCGTTAATAATTGCCTGTCAAAGTGTTAAAAAGACATAATATGGAAATGGGTTGTTTGTAATTCTTGGACTACAGAGCTTTTCGGCACTTGCAGAAGATAACATTCCATGGGACAGTGGAGATGTCTGGACCACTACGGCATTTTATATGTTTAGTTTGCACATTCCTTTGAGTTTTGGATGGATGTCCGTGGCTGCTCAAATATTGCAACAACCTAATCTTGATCCACAAACTGAGGTATTTCTGTCACTAATTTTTATTTAAAGTGCCTATTTGTAATATTTGTTTCTTGAAACAATTGGGGGATGTTTGAAGACAAGGAGGAAAAATGCTCAATCGCTCATGGTAGGAATATAGGTCTTGCAACTTGGAATTGAAGCGAATTGAACCTTTTTGCATTCCACCACATGTCAAACAGATTATTATTATCATATACTTTTTTTTCCCAATATATATAACTAAGTGTACCTTGTTAGATGGAATATTCATCCATTGGTCACAACCTAGCCTGAATTATCAATCATAAAAAAGCTAGTAATGAATAATGATCGACATGTTATTTGATGGGTCACTTGTGCTTTCCTTTTGCCTCTTTTGCAGGCAATAGCACTGCTTATAGCTCAGATTATAGAGGTTGTTGCAAGTTTTCTTCTACTACAGTTCACCGCTAAGCCGCCATATAAATTTACGAATTTCTTCGGAGGTTACAAGTCATCTGCAGAAAGGAACTATTTATTGGCATCAGCTATAGGATTTGGGTTTCTTCTTGCACTGGTTTTCTTCACATCTGTACTTGTGGACGGAGTCATAGAACCCAAGGTTCGTGTCATGTTTTCCTCTTTCGAAGCTCTACTTTTGTTATTCTCGTCTATTGTCGAATGCACTGAACAGATAGATATCTTTAAGGATGAGTATGTCGTCGCTTCTCGATTCCTGGAAATTTTTTGCTTTCATTATTTGAACGTGTGACCAACTTTCAAGCTGCATTGATGCATTCTCACTTTTAGTTTGCAGAATTGTGGATATTGCTAAGAGTGGAGAACTCTTGGGGACTGGCTAAGTTAATTTTAAATTAATAGTCTAGAATCTAGCAAGTATACTTGAGGATATCAAACTGAGGACTTGTTTAGTTTGCTGATTCGAGTTGAGATGTGACTTTACGTGAGAGCTTTTTACTGTAGCCAAAAAAAAAAAAAAAAAAAAATAGATGTGACTGTTTTTTAGAGCTTTTTACTGTAACAAAACTCGAATTTTAAACTTGAATATATGAAATGAACGAGGCTTAATTTCATGCATGATACAGACATGAGCTACGAAAGCCCTGGCAATAGATGAGATGGGTTTTAGATCATAGAAAGGAAGTTGTACCCTTTCAATAGAGCTGAGTTGAAAATGTCAGCTAATGATTACATTCTTCTCCCCTTTTCTGAAGCCGGCACTGCGTAAAAGATACTTAGTTCTTGTTGGATTTAAACTAGACTTGGACTTGTTAGAAGAGAGATGTGGAGAAGGAATCAAGGCTTCATAGTAATGTGCTTATTTATTTATTTTCTTAATTTGCTAAAGTAATAATGCTTACAATGAAGCATATAAGCCTGGGTTAAAAATTGGGAAAACTTCCCTTGTTAATCTAGCGTTAGATTGAAACTAGTTTCTGAATCATATAAGTCTCCGAGATACTTACTCACATGCACACAGCATTATGCATATGATGCCATTGAACATTTACAAAGAAGTCTTTTATATTTTGCTTCTTCTCCTGCTTTTTTAGGTGTTCCAATGTGTTTATTTTGATTTTTAGTATTCTTCTAAATCGTTTTTGCGACAGATAATTCACGATTCTCTGGGACTTGTCTGGGACTCGTGGAAATTGTTTGTTTAAATGTGGTTGAAAAGTTTGGGAAACTTTTCAATTTTTGTATTTTATTTCAAACCAAGTGGTTTTACCTAATTAAGTCTCTACTAAGTAATCCTTTATGAGGCTTCTTATCTTTTTACATTTTTCTATGTTTCTTTTTTTCTTCTTTTCCTTTTGCTCTTTCAAGTAAGAGATAAAAGTTCCCTTAAAAATATTAACTGTTTTGACTTTTTATGGGGTGTTCAGATGCTCCTTCATAGTAGAAAAAAATAAGTTGGAAAATTTTCGAAATAATTATGCATTGGCACTCTGAGTTTCCTTGTCAATGTTGGTTACTGGTATCTCCTTATTGTGTCAGATATTTCCCTTCATCTTAAACATTATGCATATGATCCCCCAAATAAGGGAGTGTGTTTCTTCTCCAGTTACATGAGATTTTCTTTTTCATATATATATATTTGGTTTTCACCATTCTTCAAAAGTAGTTATGTCAGGACATATTTGGTTCAGAACTCTCATATTTAAACAAAATATTTTTGTGCTTGCAGATGGTAAACAACCCTGTACTGAAAGAAATACTTGTGAGCAGCAACATTTCAAAAGCCGCTTGTGTCCTTGTATACTGCGTCGTTACTCCCTTGCTGGAAGAAAATGTCTACAGAGGATTCTTATTGAGGTCACTTTCGTCGACGATGAAATGGCAGCAAGCGGTTCTCGTAAGCTCGGCGATTTTCAGTGCGGCTCACCTTTCCGGGGAGAATTTTTTACAACTATTCATCATTGGTTGTATCCTTGGATGCTCTTACTGTTGGACTGGAAACCTATGTTCTTCTTTTCTCATTCACTCCCTCTACAATGCTTTGACATTAGCAATAACTCTCTTATCTTAATCTTTCCTGTGTATTCTAACTCACAATGATGTTCGTGACAAAATAAGACGTACATATTGGTTTCAACTTTCAAAAGATCTATAACTTACAATTACTCTAGAGGAAATGTCATCTGATATTATAGTTACATGTAACATTTGCTATATGTTCAAGTATGTTGAACAATTTGTGTGCATCTCACTATGTTAAAAGAATTTTTTTTTTGGGCACAAGTGATACCGTATAAGCAAACCAACTTAATTTGTCCTTTTAAATCTTTAACTGTATGTGTATTTTTAAAATCTTTAACTATATTTTACTAACTGATTTGACAAAATTTCGCTCTAAAAACAATCATACATCTATATGTTCCCACTTAAAAAAAAAACCGTAAGAAGTTGCCTTGTTAGCTGGGCCAGCCAGAGATGAACAAAAGGATGTAAGATTGTTCAGCTCTTCGGGGGCATGTGCACACTTTCATGTTGCTTGAAGTAAAACTAGAAATCACTTGTTTCTTTTCCTTATTTAGGATTCTCCTTACGAAGAAAACAATAATTTGTTTTCACGTTTATCCTGCAAGGACCTTCTCTGATATGTCAATATATTGATAAAATATGTTTTTTTATCCATCAGATATGTATAAAATTACGTAAAAATCAAAAGCGCGCAGAGCTAATAGTTGGAAAAACCTGGTCTACCAGTATGCTAACGTATCAGAGAATCTCCCTAAAAGTAAAGCAAAAAAAAAAAAAAAAAACCAGTTTTCATTTAGTTAAGGCGTTAATTGATGAAGTTTCGACATAGGCCAGAGTGATTTGAAAGGCACACAATTATGCTGTAGAGGGAAACAAAATTAGGGGAAATTCTATTGGTTTTTAGCACAATTGCCTCAAAAACTTATCATAGTTTAGTAAATTGTCCTTTAAACTTTTAATTTTGACAATCAATCTCCTGAACTTGTAAAAATGTTACAATATGCCCCATTTTACTAAATTTACTCAAATTTTTTTATTAGATTTAAAGGATTAAAAGTTGAAAAACTAAAAGATTTATATCACATTTGAATTGGGATATTGAAATTTTCGTTGAACGTGTTTTTTCAACACTAATTTAATCCAATCATTGTCAAAATGAGACATATTGCAACAAATTTACAAATTGATGAGACAACTTATTAAAATTTAAAGTTTATGGGGTAAATTGCTAAAACCATATAAATTCAGGGAGAAAATGTGTTAAATACCCAAATTCTATTGTAGGGCACATGTGCCGGTACAAAATATAAACCTTAGATGAAAAATCAATGGCTCAAGATTATGTTGCCAATAAAAACAAAAATAGAGACAACTATATATATTTGATGACACCTTAGGCGTATTTGGAATTCGTTTTAAAATGATTTTATTTTTTGTATGAAAATGAAAACGTTTTCAATCTCAGACATAAATCATTTTTAAAAATGCGTTTGGTAGTTTTATCAAGAGATTATTTTCAGTATAAAAAACACATTAATGTCTCTCTCTTTGCTCGAGAGAGGGGAAAACGAAAACAAAAAATGAAAATTCATTTTTCATTTCTCTCTTATTTTACACTAAACCAAAAAATCATTTTCATTTTCGTTTTTTGTCTTTGTTGCGCCAAATGTCATTTTGGAAACGTTTTCATTTTTTCTTTCTTGCAAAAACGTGAAAAATAAAAACGAGATCAATTCCAAACATAGCCCTTGTCTTTCAAGTCTTAATAAAAAAAGTCCTACATATTAAATGTGTGACGACCCTGCTGAGTTGGCCGTCACTGTAACTAATTTTAACATATAATTTCTAAAACTCCCAAAATTTGAGAGACTTTTTTTAAAAAAAATACTCCCTAGAATGCTGCAGCATTTTTTTAAAATGTTGTATGAATGCTGTAGCATTTTATTTTTAAAATGCTATATATAATGCTGTAATATTTTCCTTATAAATAATGTAGTATTTTCTTTAAAATGTTGTATAGAATGCTGTGTTAAACCCACAAGTGGGCCAACACATGAATCTTAAGGTTAAGAAGTGAAAAAGAATTGAAAATAAGGAAGGATGTGCAGAATGCTGTGTTAAACCCACAAGTGGGCCAACACATGAATCTTAAGATTAAGAAGTGAAAAAGAATTGAAAAACATCAATTCTAGGGTTTTAGAAATAATCCGAACGAAAAACGGATGAAAGAGAGGTCCGGAAGGTCGAACCGAGAAAATTAGGGTTTCGACTGATTTAAGTGGACTGAATCAAAGTTTGTTGACCAAGAGTCGATCAAAACGTCAGTCTCGAAAAGTTAGTCAAGAATGGTCAAAGTTGACTAAGTTGACCAACTGTCTGAGAAACGCAGATAAAATGCGTACTGGACAAGAAATTAAGCTGGACCAAAATATGATAATTATTAAATGATAAATGGTTGAGATTTAAAGTAACTTTTTAGATGAAGGGCTGAGATCATGCCACTTGCTTAGTGAGGTGGTCGGCCAAGCTTGTACAAGAAGCCGAGAAATGATATATTTTGGTGAAATTTTACAAAAAGGTCCCTCAAAAGTGCTAAAATTGCATTTTAGTCCTCCCACTTTATTAAGTCCGGTTTTTAAGAGATAAAAATATCCCTGATTACGCCCAAACGTGTGCAAAACAAGCGGTCAATTGTAGCACAATTAGGACGGTCGATCCCACGAGGAAGTGACAAATTAAATAAGAAACGATTAGCAAATAATAAACTTTAGGAGATAAATAATAAAGTAAAAATAAAAGAGAATGTAATTTGTGTTGACAAGTTTAAGCGTAAGAAAAATGTATGAGAAAATTATATAATTAAAACCGGTAAGGCGTCGAGATTCCCATATATGCTTCGTGCACCCGAATGGATTTTGATCTTTGAGATTACTCAATTGAAAGTTTCACATCCCAAACTAACAATCATTAAATATATATTTGAAGAATATGTGAATTAAAATGTATTCGAGTAAGTAAAATTCTTACGTTTAGTATTAGGAAAATTATCTTATGAGAAATCTAAAAGCGACAATATACCGTTGGCAATATTACAGTAAAAGACTACTCACAAAACAATACTTACCAATATATAGTATCATGCAACAATCACATAAAAAGAGCTTGACTAGATTTATATAAAAGTTGACAATAAAATATATCAATATGAGAAATTAGAAGAAGATAGAAGAAGATTAATCACTCAAATATATAAACTTTGAAGAACAAATGGCGTATCAAAATCCACTCAAGATCACTTCACATATAGGTTTCTCCCTAACCTCACCAAAGAACTCTAGCCTAACTTGCACATAATTCCCATAAAATTCTAAAAAGAAAGTATGAGAATAAGAACAAGAAAATAAGAAAAAATGTGTCTAAACTTAAACGAAAAATCAACAACCTAACACACTTAACAAAGGCTCTATTTATAGAGCTTTTAGGACATGTAAAAAACCACTCAGCAAGAAAAACATAAAGGACATTTTTGTCAAATTAAATTGGATTTACAAGGCTTTATGCTGAGATTGAATGCTGGAATTATCCCAACGGAACCAAAACAGATAGCTGGCTGAAGAATCCCAATGGGTGGAACACGTGTCGCGCGAGGAGGGACTGAGAGGAGTAAATTGCCGACCACTGCATCAATGTCGACACGTGGCGCTCTGTGATTCGCGGAGAGGATGAAATGACCGACAGCAGGGACCCACTCGGAACACATGGCAGGAGCTGGTTGGAGAACGGCTGCACGGTGGATGGCTAGGCTTGCTGATGGGCTTCATTTTCTTTTTTTCTTTTAGGTTTGGCCCAAATGTCTTATTGCCCTACAAACCAAATTAAATTAAATTAAAATCAAACACTTCCACAAAATATTAATTCCCTGAAAATATTTAATTAAAACTTAATTTATTTAGCAATTATGAACAATTTTAGTGCAAATTTGTGCACTTATCAATCCCCAAATGTTCATTTTTCACGTCAAGAACCGTGGGTGTTCATCCAAGAGAGAGAAGAAGAAAAAAAATTACCAAAAGTAAAGAAAAGCAAGTTTTAAGCGGGAATCGATCGAACTACCGATGATTGGTGATTTCGGAGTTTGTTCTTCATTCTTCTAAGGTGAGATTTCAGTTTTCCTCTCCTTTTCCTTACCTTGGCCGAATGGTTTGGATGTGGTAGAGATTATGAAGAAAGTTTGCTAAGTTGATGATTTAATTTCAAATGATAAAGGAATTGAAAGCTTAGTGAATTAAAGGTCAAGTTTTGATTGTTAGATTATGTTTCTAGCGACTTTTGGATATGAAAATCCTTGTGAGAAATTGGATGGAACTCTAGAGTATGGTTCCTAAGATGACTAAATTGTATGAGAAATATTGTTAGTTATGTTAAAAGATGAAGTAACGGATAAAACGAGCTAAGGATAGCTCGGGAAACACAGAAAATAAGGCGAAATTCCGCCGAAATTTAGTTTGAGAATTTGAGGTTAAACCTAGTTTTAGTTCTAGAATTTGAGGCTAAACTTGATTTTAGTTCTAAATAGAAGCTTTAAACTATTTTCTTAGAAAAAAAACACTACATAACTGTTAAAACAGTTTTGGTGTTAAACAGAGGAGTTCGTTGAAGAACTCAAAGTATAATCTCAAGAAAGTATGTCAATTTCAGACTTTGCTAATAAAAGTAAGGTAATCAGGATTCAATAAACCTAATTTTTAAATTAGAAACAAGGTTTTACAATCCTTAAGATAGAAAAAGAGAAAACGAGACATAAATAGAGAAATTAAACTTTCTTTCAAACTTGCTAAAATAGAATAGCAAGTGATAGTTAATCTCACACTCTTGGTGGGTGTTTATTCTCAGAAATAAGCAAGAAAGAAAGAGAACATGCTTTTTTTGGCGAATAGAGGAGTCCACTTCCTAAAGCTGGTAAGTAGGAATCTCGCCTACAGTATAAATAGATTTTAATAAGATATTTTATACAGGACAAGATAGAGAACTTATGTAACCTTTTCCTTAAGATCAGGATCATGGATCAACCATTAGATTAGGCGGCTAGAGAACAATCGGAGGTCAATTTGACCACACAGATAGCCGAAATGAGACAACAGT